CGTGCTTCGTTCACTTTTCACCCAGTCCCCTTCGCACCTGGAAAACACATAAGGAATGCTGAGGACCTTGTGGAAAATAATGGTTATATTATGGAATTGATGATACCACTAGAAAAAGAATGCGAAGACGAGGAGCACAGGAAAATATAAAAATCTGGACAATTGATGTTACGTGGACAGCCATATAAAATCAAGATAATTTGTTGGACGGGGTGCAGTGAAAAATAGTTTTCTGCATAAAAGAAACAGTGGATCACTCTCTTCTTGAAATAGAAGTGGGGCACGTTGGTTTTATCCTGTTGGATAAGTATGAATTTACTCTGGGAATACCAACACCAGGCCAGGTGATATTCTCCTTTGAATCTCTCTGGGGGCTTCAGATACCTTCGCCGTCGCTTCCTTGCGTGCTGGTGAGCACTCTGCCTGTGAGATTTTTAAGGAAATCGTTGGGTAGTGTTTCATGGAATGATATTACATGTGTGTCGGTTTTAGGTGATCGATACTACCGCAATCTTCGCTACTGTTATTATCTAAAACAAAGATTACATCGACGGTGGTCCAGTTAACGGACGACAACTTTTGAAATACGTAAGTAAATCACCCAATAGACAGTCTACTGGTACCACCTAACCGTCGCCAGTAGCAGACGTCTAGGAGTAGACCATAATGGTTGATGTCTTTAATAGTTGTAGTAACGCCAGCAAGAAAAAATTCGCTGGCTAGGTTTGCATAAATCTACTTCCAGACAGTCTTGTCTCCTGGAAGATACCATGCGCTTTCTATTTGCAGCCTGTAAGTTGAAGGTTGGTTCCCTCTGATGATCTTTATCTGTGGCAGATAAGATACTAACTTCGACAACCAAATAGTGGATTTTCTAACCACGTCTCGGCTCACTGCCACATTCTACAGCTGCCGCTAAGGAGTGCCGGTGAGGTAGTTTCCTTTAGTGTTTAAATCCCAGTTAAATTTGTAGGTTTTTAGGGAACACTTAGTGTCACGTCTAATGTCTCACCTTCGAACACTTAAGTTGTGCTTTGTATACCATTTAACTATTTGTTTCTGGTTCTTTGGACTGTTGTACAATTTACGTGTGAATGCACATTTTTGTCAATTACGAGCCGTTTTGGGGTTTGGCCATTGTATTCTTGGTGTTAAGATGCCGGATTACCTAATATTCATGTGTCTGCACCATGTCTGTCCAATACTTTTCGTCTAACAGAACAATGATTTTTCTGTTCTTCAATAGTCTGTTACTAGTTTAACGATATTTGCGACAGTTTTGTTTTGGATTTGGTAGAAGACTGCGAGTCTCTGCTTTCAGAGGTTATTCGTACAGTTTCTGTACCACATAGCTATCTGGCCATAGGCATTATTATAACAATACCAGTGCAGTTTCTTAGGTGAACGTGGTTTAGATTTCGATTGGACACGTGAATTGCTACTTTGAGATGATTTTCATGGGCAGTTTAGAGAAGTTCAAGGGCTGCGTGAGCATAGAAGTTGCTTAAAAGTGTCAGACAACTTTGTCATTTCAAAATCATTGCACATAGATGGTGTGCGTCGGTGGCACAGTGGTTAGGACTCTCGCCGACCATGCACATGGTCCGGAGTTCGATCCGCTGCCGACGCACACCCGATATCTATGGTGGGCCTGCGAAATTTGGGCCACCGATATCCATACTGAAAATATAAATAATAAATAATAGTATATTCTCATTTTGTACATGAGGGACGCCAGTTTACAGGCATCATCAATATGATAAATTACATATACGATGAGTAAACATATTTAATAATAGTAATTTCATTGAATACACTTTTTCCTACCTGTGTAGGACACACCAATTGTACAGGCATGGATAAGTATCATTTAAATTACATAAATTTGGTTCATGGTAAAATTATAAGGTTGCAGTCATTTTGTCTATGGGAACAATATGATAACTAGTCATTCAATGGAGCTCATCAAGAAATATAGAAGTATTGTCTTCGCATTAACAAAAAAAACCCAAGTGTGTTTTGGATGGATTACAAATACTTGGGAAAAAAATAAAGCTTGAAGTAATTCCTCCATATAAATAAATAAATTTATTCTCATAGTACAGTACATGAGGGTCGCCAGTTTACAGGCATCATCAAATTGTTACAGAAATAGAACCATATAATTCAATCGCAATTTACAGGCAGTAGCAAGATATGCTTTACATGTTCGCTGGAGATTATACATACACTTGATAAATGTTAATCCCAGTAGTATAAAACAGCCTTTTCACTTGTATACAATCATTTCTGTGCAAAGTTGGAAAAATCTGCTAGATTGTCAGTGAGTGCAACACAACAGGAAATACAGAAGTATTGTCTTCGCATTAACAAAAAAACCAGGTCTTTGGTGGATGGATTATAAGTGCCTGGGAAAAAAATAAAGCTTGAAGTAAATATTCATACATAACTTTGTTGTGTGCAGAGTCCTCGAATTATAGTTCATTGATGTGTTATTTTGAGATCAGTGATGTGTTTATCTCATTTGATCTGCAATGTCATTGTTGGGAGTAAGTACATAAGCTTCGGACGCATTAATTGATGGATTTCTACTGCTTACGAGTATTTTCTTAGCGTGAGGAAGGTTTATGAAATTCAGCTGTTCCGACAGGAGTTGAGAATATTAACTGCTCAGCAACATTATGGATATAAGTTCATCACATTATCTAAGGAAAGGTGGGTTGCAGTTGGTGAGGGATATATGGTGCCCAACGAGCGTTCATCTGTCCTTGTGATGTTGTGGTGAGTTATACCTTTTTCATGTTGTCGGTTTATGTCCATTTTATTCCACTTATTGTGTTGGGTAGTAGTTTTACAAACGAGATTTCTTGTCTGTTTGAGGATACGTATCTTAACCGTTAATGTTTTATCTAGAATTATAAATATAGGCAAAAAACAACAGGTGTAGTATTTAAGCTTATACATTAAATGGACCTATAATTTCGGAGGCTCTCAGATAGGAACTAGAACTACTATCGTTTGCAAACTCTTGTAGTTTGTCATTAAGCACCTTTTTGAAGGAGGCCATACTTGTACTGAAAATACGGTGTGGCATCAAGTTGTAATCAAAATAATAAATAAAATGATAAATAAAATAATAATTACTTATCGAGAAAACTTCAATGACTGGCCGCAACGATGTTTCCAGAATTCCATCAGCCGAAATAGCTAGATCCTCGGTGCTTACTACTTGAAGTACTGCAAGCACAGAATGCACTGGTCGTAGCAACTTAGAAACAACTCTCCAAGGAGCCTCTCATCGAAATTTCTTTGGCTGGCGAATCCACGCATACGTGAAGGCATACGAGTGGCGAAATTACCACACAGCTCGACACTGTGAAAGAGTTCGCTTAGACACTGCCGACGCAGGAGATCGTTTATCTCAAATATTGGCGCTTTAATCATCTCGGGTTGAGCACAAATGCAGTAACGCACTTGCTCGGTTCCCATGACAGAAGGTGTATAAACGCAAGATACCATGGAAGTGGGTCAGTAACTCTATGTCCCTGCAAGTTGGCCCAGCATACAGAAACCATATTTCTGCGTTGTCATTCCAAACTGGCATGGAATGAATACGGGGGCTAGCTGGTCGGCTGTGAATGATCTTAGGTGTATGGTCACTCATGGTAAAAGGAACTTCTTAAAATGTAATAAATATAACAAAAGAACAAGACAAGACCAAACGGACTCACTGGAATCGTCCGTGTTCACCAAATTATACGAAATTCGTACGCAGGCTCAACAGTTTAAATGATCAACGGGTGTTGACGTTTACACAAAGTACGATGTGTACAAATGCAAGTTATCATCCCTCACTCCTACAGTATTCGCTTCACTTAAACAAAAGACAAATCAAAATACAAAACTGATGACCTGAAATACAATATCTATTTCAAAGTCAAAAACGTGGTGCGGTTTTTGTCGCTTAGGTAGCTCGAGATCGTGCGCAAATGAGAAAGTGTAACATGATGGCACGCCAAATGGCGTGGATGCTCGGCTGTTAGCCTTCAATTGAAGGAGTTGACTTGAATAGTGAGGGTCAGCTCCCACTGCTGAGTGGTGGATATTGTAGGATAATAATTTTGGAAAATTATTCACTGCTACAAAGCCCTTTGTTCCAGTTGTAGTGGGCGAATCACACATTTATACTGTTAATATTGTAAGTTTCATGATATGAAGAAATAATAAATAAACGTACTTGGGATCACGAGGTTCCACTTATTGTTGCACACCTGTTTTTTGCCCCATTTCCATCAGATTATCTCAGTGATCCTCTTTGTTTTCCTATATCAAATAACAGGGTTGTTTCCTCTTTTATCGCACATTCTCTTTGGAGCATCATATTGTTCTGTGAATAATAAGTATAATACTTAGATAATAAATAAATGAACAAATTTATTCTCGTAGTACAATACATGATGGACGCCAGTTTACAGGCATCATCAAATTGATACAGAAATAGAACCATATAATTCAATCACAATTTACAGGCGGTAGCAAGATATGCTTGTCAAATACCCAATGTTTATATGTACAGCTATGATCTTTATTCATTTGAGTATAAATTCATATATCCTACATAAGCTCTTTTCGACATAAAAATAACGCTGAGTGAACGATACTATGAAGTTGAACTTCATTTCAATACTTCCCGAGCTGGGAGTCATTCCATGATTTGTTCGTCCAGTCTCTGCATGTTTCCATACAAGCTTATGTACTTAAGCACTGGTCCTTGATGTTCTTTCTTCTTTGGATGCTTAGTGGCACTCGTGAGGGGACTGAATCAGTCTTGAGAACATGATAGTATCTAATTTTGATAAAGACAACCAGATGGTTGCATGAAGTATAGTCAGCAGACAATTTTTCTGGCCATTATTATAATCACTTAAATAGCTGAATGATATGGTATAAACGTCTGTGGTATAACGTAAACGTAACCATCCTAAAACTAAATATAGAAACCAGAACCTACATGTCTGATCAGCCTGACATTTTTGGCAGTGGACTTTGCTCGCATGTTGCACCGCATTATTGAAATTGGCAAGGTCACAAGTTCTCAAGGTTGGCGTGAAGGACAACGACGATATCAAGGGTATATATGCAGCGATGGTGTACAATGATTGTGGAAATGCTGTTTTTCTGAATGAACTTGAATCTCTTATCAAAAATCAGATAGAGAGAGCTGAGTCAACCAAACGGACTAAGTTTGTATATCCTAAGGAAGCCGTTAGATTAACTCGTATGTTGCACTTACTCAGTGTAATTGCCTTTATAGCTGGGAGTTGTTTAGTAGATCCACATTTTAACAGTTTCGTTTGTAAGGCAGTTGGAGAGCTGTGTATTAAACTTGATGAAAGTATGGTAGTTTCATGAACTTGACCTTTATTTCCAGTCATTGGTGAAGCTGTACATCCTGAGTATGGCAGCGTCCGGATATCAGCGATGGTACGAGATCTCGAGCGGAGAGTTAGGAACACATACAATCAGTTCACAGAGAAAGGCTGTAAAATAACAAATCATCCACCTGTGTCGATCAAGTTGGGTGAGTTTCAATATGACAAGATATATGTTTTTGTTAAGGTCTATTAATGCCAAGCTATAATTTTTAGTGTGCAATGTTGTATTGCCTGTAAATTTAGCATTCGTAATTTTTCAGGTTTTTGTGTAATAAAGTTAGTTGTGAGATCTATGCTTAAACTATTCTTAAATTGATGTAAACATTATTAACAGAGAAATAGAGTTATGTACAATATAGATTGGGGTCTTGTAAATTGAATCAGAATCTAAGAATTAAAAACCTACTTGGCATACATAAAGAAATGGTTCACGAGTAAATGTAGACTAGGAGAAATAACCTCTAATTTCTAATGCGTGCTAAACATTAGTTAGCGTCTGTATTAGTTGCGTATTATTGAAGTCAATAGAGAGTCAAGTTTTTACTAAAGACAGTTATCCTCATCTGTGCATTCTAAGTAATCACCTTGTCATCGCAGAATGCTTCAGTTGCATCTACTTTCACCAAGGCGGAGACAGCATTCTGATATATACTACCAAACCACTTTTTATTTATAGCCGATGCAATTAAATTAAAATTTAAAAAAATCTTTATTGTAGCTGGATTCCACGCAGTGTTTTCTTAGGAGTGTGGAATTTTCAACTTTTGATGTCGGTATCCCAAGTTTAGCAGGTCGACCATTGGTATCAGGTGTGGTATCAGGGGGACCGAACTTTGGACCACGTGCATAGTTGGCAAGCGTCCTACCCGCTGTGCCACCGACGCACCATCAAAGCGTATGTCAAAGGTGGAATGCCAGCAGCTGTACAGCACCCGTTAGCGCATTGCCTCCTCAAGACGACTGTAAGATAAAATCAGTCTGAATGATCTCCTCCTAGAGCTACTTCGTTACTTACTTACTTTACTTCGGCTATCTCCTACGGGAGGATGAGCCGGCTTCATGAACATCTCGAATCATCGCGGCCCAGGCGCGGCGATCTGATGAAAAGAGTTCATGAAGTTTCATGGGAATTTGGTACGAGTGATGTCCCCAGAATCGCTCGGCCTTTTGTTTGAGAGTGCAGCTCTAGCCTTTACACAACCAAGTGTGACCTACAAGGCAGTAGAAGTGGAGTAGGGAGTCCACTATCCATTGGCAGCCGTTGACCGGAGTTCGGTTCATACGCCTTTTTGAATGGGGCCAGACATCCAGGACATCCAACAAGCCCTTTGTCCATACGTCTGCCAGTGAGCTCCAGTGAGCTTCATACGCCAGTCGTTGGAGGTTTGGAATCAGGGTTTAGCCATCTCCCCTAGATTGTCATCCAATGGACAGTCAACCCGGTGAAGAGCGCCGGGCATCCGCTTTCGCCCTCTCACTTTGGTGAAAAACACCTCCGCCACGTGAAGGCAGTGAGTAGGACTTCGTTACCGGTCATCATATGTATTTCTAGCAGAATTAATTGATGAGTGATTCTATATTATTTTATTCGTCAACGTTCCAAGTGGAACATAGAGCTTCAAGCTAAAGCTTTAAAGTTTTGGCAGCAGTGATGTTTATTTCTATGAGATGGGGTTGTTAGCTTCATGTCCCACAATCTTCCCTTTTTACTTGTTTTGTTACTGGCTTAGTAAGGTAAAGGAGTGCGTCGGCAGGGGATAAAACCCCCTGACTACATGAGGCGTGGTTAGCGAACATTCTATCGCTATGCCACCGACGCGATTCTATATTGAAGTCCCTGAATTCAACCAGTCGTAAGAGATCTAGTGTAAAATAGTTCAAAAATGGATGATAGATACACGCGTCTGTAGTCCGTTTGTTTGGCTTTTGTTCATTTATCATGATGGCGTAGTGCAAGAACTTTCATTTCGTTATGAAGTTGTCTCATGATATTTTGACTAAGAAAACAAAGGATGCATTCATTGCTCAGCAATTCACTCCGTACTGCGGTCTGGGTGTGAAACATGATTAAGACGGGGAGACTAAGATTTGTTTGCCTTCTGTCTCCCGTGTTAAGTTGTAAAATATACCAAATAATATTGAGATTGGACACAGAGGGGAAAACCAGTCACTGAGTTTGTGAGGCTATATCAACTGAGGTAATTAAGGTGCGTTACACACGACAGTCCATCCCCTTCCTCGTCAAGCCACATTATCTGATATTGGATTAAGTTGAAAAAATAGTTAAGAGTGATCAAGTCAAAAGCTTACGTCACTCCATAAAGTTTCTGACTGTTGGTTTGAGTCAGCCAAATGGGTAGGTGTATACTGCTTGACTGGGGTCTTCAAGGAGTAAAGAGCATTGGCTAGAGATTCGAGGACATGACCGAAAGTTGTTCTCAGTAGCGTGGATGGTTTATGAATTCTCATATCAGTCGAATTGTGATTATTCCCCATGTAATTCGTATTTCTCCCAGAAATTTCCATTCATCATAGATACCCTGCACTTCTTTACACTACCATTTTACTATGTAAAGTGCTGCAGCTTGAATTGTTGCAATTTTGTACAGAGTTCTTTGTCGGAAACTGTCAGTCAGATAAGGAGAAAATCTGAGTAGAAGCATGTTTCGTTGAGAAGCGAAATCCATAAAACAGCTTTTTCAATCGTTTTTGGTTTTAGCATCTTTCATTATATTTTCAGTCCTAACGTCATCCTAATATCATGAATTTTTAATTTCCAACATTTTTAGGTAGTGTTTATGCTTGGGCACGTGAACAATCTGGTGTAGATTTTAATGGTCTTCAAATGTGTTCAGATCTGAGAAAAAATCGTTTACGTTTATGTCGAAAACTTTGTCGTTTAGTACGTCTATCCAAGTCATCCAAACAACGAAGTAAATCTCATCCTTTGTTGTCTAGCCTTAAACATGATCTAATGAAAATACGTTCTCGTGCTGCTGGGAAAGTGTTTTCAGAAAGGCCTGTCACACTGACCTCTCATACTCCAGGTAATCAGACATGATTATTTTTATTGATTCACATCTTGTGTGATACTTCTCCTGGTCTCAGTTTATGTGTGACGCGAATAGTTCTGTTTTCATTGTGATTAAAAAGAATTCTGGTCAAGTGTAGACTAATTTAAGGATGCGTGGTAATCAGTACGAGGTCATACTATCCAGTATAGTTTTATGCATTTTTAAGACTTTTGTATTTCAGGATGAAGCAACCTTTTAGAAAGGTTATTATGAATACGACTGGGCTTTATAAGCTTCATTATAGTTTCATAGCGCAACATGCACCCATGTATACATGGTAAAAAGAGAAGCAAATGTCAGGTTTCTTTAAGATTAAAATATAAACGATTAGAATGACACTTGTTTTTATGAGCTTGTATCTGAGTTAGTTGATTGTGTTTGTGTGAGGACTGAGATACTGCCCGGGCACCCAGACTGAAGTAGGTGGTTGTCTTAAGGAATCACCCCTCCCCCTCGAGACTTTGACTTGGAGTCTTATCCGCAAGGCAGTAGAGCAGCATCAGGAGCTACGTTCCGATGGTTATCGGTGACCAATACAGGTTCATACGCCATTTCATCCGATTGGGTTCTGAAGCCCATGTACCCCATAGCATAGTAACTGCTTTTAGTCTAACCGCTATGCAAACAACCTTCCTGACATGGTAGGACCTGCTCTTGTTGAGAAAGTGGTGCAGATAAGCTCTGCATAAATGGGGGGAGTTAATTTATATTCCCCTTCCTCTCCCTCTAAGTGATCTACCGATAGCAATACAAGTTGTTTAAAGCAATTACTGGTTAGCTGACCGTGTTAGACAAAAACAGCTCCAAAGTAAGACTTATTATTATTGTTATTTGTTTGTTCCAAAACAGTGCTTATTATATAGTGTAGAATTTCCAGCACTTTGGTACAATATTGGATCTAATTTCCTCAACAATGGCAAAAACAAAAATAAAAAATAATATTACAGGATTAATAATAGCAGCTTTTTTGGTATTAGCAGTAACAATGAGGTCAAAATGTACAAAAAGTGTAACGTGATGATAATAATGTTAATGCCTAAAATCAGAAGTTAATTGAAATTGTTTCACCATAGAGTACAAATATTAGAGAGTAAAATAACCAATTATTTTGTTAATAGCGTAGTAAGTTGTAGGTTTCACGCCTAACACTATCTCTGCTACATAGAACGCGCGTCAAATAGGGTATCATTGAGTTTCTGTACTTGGTTGTACGAGTGAGCATATATAATCTTTTATCATGACTTCTAGTCCTATTTGATGAGATGCAAGTGTGGGGAGAGTTGAGAATAGAGGGTGTTGAGAATTAGACAATATGGATTTGGACCGTTTCTCAGAAAAGTTCAGGTGTGTTGACTATAGTAGTAACAAGTTTACTAGGTGGCACACCACACTTCCCCTGTTGATTTTCCTTAATAAACGATCTGTTGCCTGGCCCTTGTCTTCTGTTGTTACACCAGCATATCCACTTGTAAGCACCAGACGTTCGTATTCGCCCTTTGACTTTTATGAGGAACACTTCCCCCCACCGCATGAAGGCAATGGGTAAGACTTACCTAGCCAGAGTCTATGAACTTGTGGTCACATGAGAGCATTTGGCGGGGAGGACTGAATTCTATTCACCCTTGGTTGCACAAGGTCATTTATAGGGATAAGAACTGATGTTTAAATGATTTAGAATGAATCAATTGTCATTTCGCCTTCCTATAATTCCCTTCGTCGTTCACATATGCTAATTTTTCTCAGTGATATATATATATACCTGACATTTCGCATAAATTATATGCGTATACTTTTGTTTTTATCTCCTTTTGCCTACCATCGTCTCATTCTCCGTCTATCTGAATAAATATCATGTTTATTTTTGTTCAGTTCATACAAAACCAATCCGCTTTACAGAGGATCCATTTGTCTTATTTGAGAAACCTATTATCCAGTCAAAGCTTGCTATCATCTTTGATAAATTGGCTGATCAAATCACCGATCTACTCTTACCAATATCACATTTAATTCCAGGTATGTGTTAGAGACAGAAAAAGAGAGAAAACTTTGTTTTTTTCATGTCTTGTTTTTTCATGGATAAGGAGAAAAACATGGTTTTTTTCAATTAACAGCTTCATTGTCAATCAACTGTACAATAGTATTTATATAATACAGAAAAAGGCATTCGATTCAGTTAATAAGGATAGTAGGGCTCTTGTGGATCGTGTTAATCCTTGCGATATATATATATATCGACCTAATTTCTCTTTGAAAAGGCGTCCAACCGATGGCATTAATACTACTTGGTTGGATAAGGAGTTTCAGACGTTGACTGCTGTATGAGAAAATTTAAATTCTAAACATTTTATTCGTCCACGGTTTGAGCACCGTTTTTGTGATAACCTTGTAAATGTATCCTAGAGGGAGAGCGAAGATTATTATTATTATATTATTATTATTGTTTTGTGCGTCGGTGGTATAGCGGTTAGGACGCTCGCCAACCATGCACATGGTCCGGGGTTCGATCCCCGACCGACGCACTCCTTTACCTCGCTGAGCCAGAATTAATGCTGATGAAGAGGAAAGGTTGGGCATGAGGCTAGCAACCCCATCCTGTAAAATAAACACTGCTACAGAAACTTCAAGCCACTAGCTTGAAGCCCTATGTTCCACTGGGGAACGTGAAGGAAAAAAATTATTATTGTTTCCTTTAATTCCTAGAGGAAAATAGGGCTTCAGCCGTGCATCTCCATTGCGTTCGGTTCTCTGCTAGAGTCTCCACCTGGCTCCAAGTCTGCCCTCCTCCAAGTCACCCTTGCACTGACGACCAACTCGCCACTTCCCTTTCGGGTTCCACTCGAGCAATGGCTTGTCTAGTGATGTCACTTGATGGTTTCCTCAGAGTATGGCCAATCCATCTCCATTTCTTCCTGCCTATTTGTTGCACAATCGGTTCCTGGTTGGTTCGTTCCCAGAGATCCCTGTTGCTGATCTTTTCTGGCCATCTGATCTTGAGTGGTATTGAGCGAAGACAACTGTTAATGAAGGTTTGTAGTTTGTTTGAGATGCTCTTTATGACGCGCCAAGTCTCTGATCCGTATAGTGAGTAGCACTGACTTCACATTGGAGTTGAAAATCCGGATGTTATTTTTGATGCTGAGTGCTGTTGACCTCCACACAGACTTGAGAGTAATGAAAGCTTGTCTTGCTTTTCCGATTCTTGCTTTGATATCCCCGTCAGTTCCGTCTTCCTGTAGTTGAAACGATGCTTCCCAGGTCGGTTGGTGAAGGAGGTTGTTTCTTTCAGGTTCCTCTAATTTATGCTGATTGTTGTCTGTTGTTGTTGTTATTGCTGTTGGTGGTGTTACCCAGGAATCTTCATCTCTGTTTTCTCTATGTTCCCTTGAAGTCCTATCTTCTCCGGATGCTTCTTCTGCCAACTTGTTGCTTTTTGCTTGCATATCTTCCAGTTTGTGAGAAATCAAACATATATCATCGGCGAAGTGCAGATCCTCCAAGTTTTTTGCGTGAGTCCATTTTATGCCTGTTTCCTCATTGCCCACTGTTTGTCGCAAAGCGAAGATTAAAAAGGTCAAATTACCCTTTCATATAGGATAACTAGTTGTCTTTGATCATAGGTGCCTGCTCTATATCTCCAGTGTTAGGTGGCATAATGGTGTGAGTGATATTGGGGTCAGGCGTCAAGTGCTATGTAAGGAGGGAGGGGAAATCAATCGATGAGGTTGTGAAGCAGCTCCATCGATTGAGATAGTTAGGACATGTGTTACACATACATGCCTAGCCATCGATCGCCTTCCTCTACGACAGGTAATGTTAGCTGATATAGGATGGATCAGGTTGTTGGAAAAGAGATAGCTAGTGGAGGTCAAACGAAAACATAGCGTCATCAGCCAGCCACGTAGGGAGGTGTAGACTTCATGACCGGTTGGAGTCCTTGGCATGGTAAAAACCAGTGAAGGTTGGAAACAATTTGGTGATATGGCTCAGAATAGTTCTCCATGACTGGCACAGATGCAATCATTATTCTTTGTGATTTGTCATATCCAATAAAACTCTGGTGCGTCGGTATCACAGCGGTAGAGTGCTTGCCGACCACGCATGTGTTCCGGGGTTACCGACAGGCAGTTACCGATCAGGCATCATGAGTATTTCGTTACCAGGGTGCTTGTATTAAAAAATTAAATTAAACTGAAATTACTTGGTGGGTGGTGGTAGTGACTAGCTGTAGAATTCAGGATGTGTATTTCATCGTACTTGGGACTCATCATCTGGATGTACCTGCAATCTACAGCGAGTAGTGATGGTGTTCCTATTCGGACTCTTGATTCCAGCATCCATCGTTTCAAACGCCAGTGTTATCCATCAGGTCATCTGGCCCCATGAGAGTCACTCCTTATGCAATGGCGATAAGTTATTAACACTGTTCAAGCAAAATTTTGTTATCACTGATATTGATTATATTAGACCGAAATATCCAGTGTCTGTTGACTTGTTAGCTTCTAGTACCGACGCTTCGAGATATCCATGGTGGATGGTGACTAACAGTGGAATCCAAGCTAGGCATTTGAAAAAATAAGTGTTGGATTCGTGTCTTGGTGGGAAGATCATCCATTAGTCACTGGAGATACAGGTGCATCCACTAGATGTCGAGTCGCAGATAGGACGAAGTACGCATCCTGGATTTCACTGCTAGCCACCAACATCACGTTAGTCCTCGGAGGTCGTCGAAGCGGCTTACGTACTAGGAGCCAATATGTTAACGAAGACACCCTGCACTTCCTTTTTTTCCTTCACGTTCCCAGTGGAACATAGGGCTTCAAGTTAGTGGCTTGAAGTTTCTGTACCTGTGTTTATCTTACAGGATGAGTTTGCTAGTCTTATTCCCAACCTTTCCTCTTCATCAGCATTATTACTGGCTCAGCGAGGTAAAGGAATGCGTCGGCCGGGGATCGAACCCCGGATCATGTGCATGGTCGGCGAACGTCCTAACCGCTATGCCACCGACGCACTCCTGCACTTCAGCCCAGTATAATAAATCACCTGGAAGTACAAAATTAATTTAAACCAAATACTAAAAAGGATTCCAATGTTCGAATGGTCTACAAGCTTGTCTTGTGACGGGAAGATCGTGGGTGGTGTACTGATGAAGAGTTTCAGACTAGGAAGAAACAATTGTCCAGTACTCCCTGTGGCTCACCGGTAGAGGAGGAGTACTTGCCAATCATGCATACGGCCTACGGTTTGATGCCCTGCCGACGCACTCCTAGACGTCACTTAGCTGATGGTAAGCCTGGCTAATGAGGAAAGGTTGAGTGTGAGGCTGGCAAGCCCACTTCGTGTAAATAGAACAACACCACTGCTATTGAAGCCTCAAGGTTTAAGTCTGCAGCCCTATCCTCCACTCAGAACACTAAGGGAATTAAAAAAGATTGTTGATAAATGTTAAAAAGTCAAAATTGTTTTGTCACCTTAAACAAAAATTTCCTTTGTGTTTTCATTTTTTTTCTCTGACAAAAATAAAGGCATTTCTATTGTAAAAAGTGCTGATGATATTGGAAAACGTCGAGAGAATTTACGTGCACAGATTGTTCTAGCTATTCAAGGATTTTATTGCCATTTCAATGAGACTACTGATGAGGATAATGATGACAATGATCCAAGTATTGATGATCCTATGAATGGAAGTTCCAACATGCCTGATCCATCTGAGTCGAGTTCAGATGATGAAGATATTACCGGGGCGAAGTAAGTCTACTTTATATATATTAAATGCCTAGTGAGCTAAAAGCAGCTTATTTGCTAGTTGTTTATTCACTTGTCTAACAATCAAACATCAACACATACATACACAGAGGCTTTTATGTCATCTGGAGTGATGACACAAATGAATCGCATGTTAAACATTCGAAAATTTCTGCTCCTCAAAGTGTTCAGAATACTGTGCATTTTATCAGTTTCTTTAGCTAAGAGGAAAATATTATCCACATTATCTAAGTTAGTCAGACTCTTTCCTGGTAAAAAGTCACTCCCTAAGTCATTGAAATCAGTTAGGCTCAATTCCACAATTCCTGCAGTTCCTACCATGCCAGTAAGATTGTTAGGATAGCGATTAGACCAAAAGCAGTTGCCAACATATTGTAAAAAAATCTTACACTATACTGGGGGGGGGGTGGCGAAGTCGTACTGCTGGGGAACAGGGACGTAACAACAGTGAGGTGTTTCCCTCAGATGACCAGCACGTCAGCCAGCTATTCTGTCTCCCCACTCTGGAAAGAGTTAGAAAAGGTCGACCCCCAAAAACTGCACATCCCGACTTACCCTACGGTGGTCCGTAACTAGGGATAAGAAACCAGTTCATACAGGCCGTGTGTGACTGGCCTCAAGAAGTTGTCCCCTGGGCTTTGCAGTCACGCAACACTGTCTTTCGGTTTCAGGTACCCGAAGAACCAATCAACTTCCACGATGTGGGCAGCCGGGAAGTAACTACCGCCCACACACCACCAAAAGCACATGAAACTCTCCTGATCCTCCTCCTCCTTATCTCTGTCACCCTCATCCTGTTTTCCTCCTACTGTTAATAATATTCTACAGGCTAGTGAGTTATCTTCATTTCATTCTGTGACCAGAAATAATGATGAGAGCCAGAAAAACACCCCCGAATGCCTCTTATGAAGCCACGACGCCAACCCCTTATTAGAGCATTTAGCGTCAGGACTCTCTGTCAAATCAGACAACAGGCATCTCGAGCTATGGTTGGAAGTTGTGTTTCGGAGACACGCATGCAAGACCCGAGTGTGTTCATTCACTTAACCCCACCCGGCCAACAAGGTACACCTTAAGGCTGTCAGGGGGATTCCTCAGCTAGTTCTTGAGGACTTGCGGGTGTAGGGATAGCTATTGATTGTTAGGGCAGAAAAATCACTTCTTTACAGGATCCCAGTAGATAGTCTTATGTGTGCGGTCCGTCTGAACGGGTGAGTTAGAAGGAGGAAGGACGGCGTTACCCATCGCTTACGCTCCAACTGACTGCAGTTCGGATAAACTGAAGGATGACTTCTACCAGAGACTGTTTAATTTGCTGCAAAAAGCAAAACGCTCAGATGTAGTTGTTTTAACGGGCAACTTCAATGCCCACGTAGGGAAGTTATTTTTAACTGAGAAGTATATAGGTGATACGTACGGAGTCCCCTACCGAGGAAGTGACAACGGTGATCGTCTTCTATAATCCTGTTCAGATAATCATCTGTTCCTAGTAAGCACTAACTTTAGGCATAAAGAGAGACCTTGTCTAACCTGCTGACCTCCATCTTTCTCTACTTTCTTCACTGGCTTTGTGTGCTGCGTAGAGGGTGGCAACTCAGACTGCTGCACATCTCTGCAAAGGTCTACGTTAGAACCCGTCAGTCCGTTAAAGACCTAGGTTGCGTCATGGGTGCATACTGATGAAGAGTTCCATACTAGGACAAAATAACTGTCCAGTACTTTCTGGTTTACAGTGACTCATGGTCCAACCAACTTGAGATCAATCCAATCTCTGTTCATCAACACTTGATGATCTTGGTTTTTCTTTCCCTTGTTTTGTTTTTAATTGATCAGATTAACAGTTCAAATGAATCCTGCTATAGTTCAGGCATCACTTGATCGCTATGATCATTTCAACTGGAATAAACAAAAGAAATTTTCATCGATTCGAGCAAAAGAACAAGCCATAGATCAGTTCAGTAGTGGTAGTCATAATACTTCACGACAACAAGGTTCTCTATTTAAATCAAGATGTAAAATAGAATTAAGTGATCCAATAATTCATAATACTGAAGAAGTTTCTGCGGTCTCGGCGGCGGTTGCGACGACGACGACACCAACAACAACGACGAGTCAATTAAATCAATGCGAAGATGATGAAAACTTGAAGTAAGTTTCAGCATTCTATTCTACCGTCTCGTCTATGTTTATATATTCATTACCAATGTTGTACAATATCCTATAATAAGTACTGCGAAATTGAGGTTAATGCTGTCACGAAGCAAAGCAGCAGGACCTGATGGAATGACTCTAGAGGTATTAAAGTACAGAAAGATCGAGCGAAGAAATATTTACTTTTCAATTAGATCCTCATCTCACTCTGGCTCTACTCTAATATACACGTATAGCATTTTTATAACAATACATAACAACATCGGGCATACAATTAGGCAGGTTCATCATCGTATTTCCGAACATCATCCAGCATGGTTAACAAGGGATAAACAAGATCTATTCGTAACTAGCTCTATTTTAGCACGCTTTATAGATAGCATAAAGTCGACGTTAATACAGCATTTAAAATTATTTAACGCATTCCTACTAATCTTAATTTTGCTCTACGAGTTCGTCATCTACATACAGCTGAAGCAATAGGAATCCACCTGAAGAAGCCAAATCTGTATGTGTTCAGAAGAAATTTGTACAGCCACTTACCTTACCTTGGCTATTGTTCCATGAATGTATAAACCGGACTACTTCGCCCCTCTCCTCCTAAACCTTTAAAAATTATAATTGTCCAAATTATTTTAGTATTTGTCTGACCACTTCAACTTTAATTACATGTTATCCTTGTAAAATTATTTTATTCTTATGACCACAAGTTATCACTGTCCAAATCGTTTTATTTTCTATAACAATCTGGTATGTAACTAACCTGTGCACACGCTTATTCCTTAATTACTCTTCACTTTTCCCAAAATTATGCATTATGCAATCCATGTGTTGTAACCATTTCTACCTTTTAAATGTGTCTTGATTTTCTTCGTTAATTATCAACCCATTGACATGTTGACACTGACTAATAATTGTTGACAAACATATCAGTGCCACTTGATTGGTAAACTGTTGTGCATTGTAATAAAAATGCTATACGTGTATATTAGAGTAGAGCCAGAGTGAGATGAGGATCTAATTGAAAAGTAAATATTTCTTCACCAAATCTTTCTGTTTTCTAAATGTCTAAATGGAGATTTTTTTCTGTATTTAAGTACTATGGAGACAGTTTACTGTCTGCGTTAACCAAGGTACTAGGCAGCATCCGGGAATCAGAAGAAGTCCCGTCGGGTTGGTGTAAGTCACTGAATATCTCCATATCCAAGAAGGGAGACAAGTTTTCCTGTGATAATCATAGGGAGATTAGCTTGACTAATATGGTATCTAAAGTCCTAGGCTTGATAATCATGAGTAGACTAAGTGGTGCTCGGGTGAAACAAACACGAGAGAACCAGACAGGCTTTAGACCAGGAAGAGGGTGTATTCATCACATGTATTGTGTTAACCATTCAACAGATTCTGGAAAATGGGCATACTTACTGGCGTCCAACAGTCGTCATATTTCTTGACGTGAAGGCGGCATTCGACTCTGTCGACCTAGAGGTACTATGGCGATGCTTGGCCATGAAGGGAATTCCGAGAAAATACATTGCACTGATCAAGGCACTGTACTCAAACTTCTACAGATAGATAGGTGAGAGTTTACAGGGAGTTGTCATCTGACAGTTGTGATGACAACGAGTGGTGTCCATAAGGGATGCCCCCTGTCCCCTTTTTTATTCAATTTCATCATAGATATACTAATGGACTTAACTCTAACTAACTTCAGCGACTCAGGGATTGACTTGTTACCATCATGGAACAATTGTCTCGTTGACTATGCAGATGATATGGTCGTGCTTCTAGGTGAAGATGCTGACAAAAATGCAGAGCCTTCTGAACACCTTGAACTGCAATCTGAGAATGTTTGGCATGCGAGTCGCTTCCTCTGCCCAAAGTAAGATGATGCTACAGGACTGGACTACAGTCACTCACTTCTAGCTTGAAGATAGTTACTGAAGTGTTGTAGGGCGTGTTGACCACTTACTTCACTTATTTGAGAAGTTGCATCAGCCAACGCCAGTAGGTTGGTCATTGACGAAGTTTCAGTATGGATACAAAAGTGTCACGGGAGCCAAGGTGTATTTTTCATCAGTCAAACCGCTGTTAATATATCTACAGTTTATATCCGTTAATCGATCACTTAGCGTGCGTCGGTGGCACAGTGGTTAGGACTCTCGCCGACCATGCACATGGCCCGGGGTTCGATCCACTGCCGACGCACACCAGATATCTATGGTCGGCCTGCAAAATTTGGGCTACCGATATCCATGCTGAAAATTCCATAATTGTACTGAAAAGAAGGTGTGTCATCAAGCTGTAATCAAAAAAAAATAATAATAAGAATAAAATTTTAATTTACATCAAACGACATGAAATAGAGTGTTCAACTGTACATAGTATTCTGTTACCAAGGCATTATTGAACTGTGGGAATATATGAGAATAATATTCCGTTGGAACACGTTGTCTTTATCACACCACCACAGTGTTACAGGACTGGACTACACTGACTGCTAGTTTAGAAATAGGGAGTGAAGTTGTAGAGCACATTGACCGCTTCACTTATTTGGGAAGTACCATCAGCCCCAACGGGTTTATCTCTGACGAAATTTCAGTACGGATACAGGGGGTTAGTTTCGCATATGCCAGTTTACGCCGTCTCTGGCCTAGTAGACGTACTGCTCAGCAGTCCGCTCTGTCCTCCTTTATGGCTGTGAGACTTGGCCATTGAGAGTGAAAGACATGAAGACCCTGGCTAGCTGTCTTTGATCATAGGTGCCTGCGTTCTATCTCCCGTGTGAAGTGGTATAATAGGGTGAACAATATTGAGGTTAGGCTTCGGTCGAGTGCTAGGTAAGGAGGGAGGGGAAATCAATCGACGAGGCTGTGAATTTACATTGACTGAGATGGTTAGAACATGTGTTACGTTTGCCTAGCCATCGCCTTCCTCGATGGGCAGTGTTAGCTGATATAGGGTCAGGCTGGAAACGAGCTAGCGTGTAGACTTCCTAACTAGTTGGGGTCCTCGGGACGGTAAACACCAATGAAGGCTGGCGACAATCGGTGACATGGCTCAAAATCGTTTTTGTCAGTGGCTAGTGCAGATGCGTCGACTGCTTGTGACTTATGATTTCCAATGAAACTATATTGTTCTTCGTTACTACTATTCTTTTGTCGCTCACCCCTGTTTACTGTCTCTAATATACATTTATTCTACTTTCTTCTCTTGGCTTGTGTGCTATAAGAAGGAAGTGTGGCGACTTGAACTGCTGCACATCGGTGCAAAGTTCTATGTCGAATACAGATAGACAGACAGTGGTTGGGCGGGGAAGAGGGGCGCATTTTGTTTTATTTTGAGCCACAACAATTGGTAATTTTGTTCCTTCAGTTGTTCTTTATCTTAATATTTTCTGTCTTAAAGAAACGCAGACATTGAAGGTGAATCAAATGATGTGCCAATGGATGATGCAGTACAACGTGATGAAGGCAATGAAGAGAAGGATGAGTCTAGAACTGAACGACTAGAAGAAGAGGAAGGAGAAAGAGAAGAGGCGGAAGAAGAAGGACAACACCAACACCAACAACAGGATGAACAACTATCACAAGAACAAGAAGAAGAAGAACAACAGCAACAGCAACAACAAGAACAACTAGAACTTGAAGAAGAGAAGGTGGAATCCCATTCTACTCCTAAGCATAATAATAATGATAATAATAAATTGACTGAAATTTCAAGAAAGTCTTTAAATCGTTCTCTACGTTCACGTCATAGTCATACACCAACAGATACAAGTTGTTCAGAAGGTGAAGTCCTGTCAGATACAGAAGAAGATCAAGAATTATCCGATCAGCATCATCATCATCAGCATCGTCGTCATCATCATCGGGATAATGTTAATGATCCTGATCAGAAAAATCATGATGATGATGTTGGTGTTGGTGTACATGAAAAAGTCAAACCAATTGGGAATGAAAATCAAAATGAAGATTTTATCCGATTAGCAACAGGCCATCCTCATCCTCATCATGATTCATTAGAGTCATCATCAACAGCAGAAACAACAACAATAACAACAGCAGCACCATCAGAAACAACCACAACAACGACAACACTAGCACCAATGAATGATGTTAATTTAACTGAGCTAGAAATTATGAATGAATGGGCACAGCCAACAATATCAACATCTAATCGATTAGATATTTCACTTAGTGATATTAATCTTCCATCTGATGAACCGGTAAGTAGTATTATATAGTCTTGTGTCATTTTGTTTTGTCTTTGTGAAGAGGAGTTCCTTGTAGAACATAGGGCTGCTGGCTTCAACGACACGTCTCCCTATTTTGTCCTATCTGCTGCTGCTGCTGCTGCTGCTGTCATCTTCAGTTGGGTCTACGATTGGCTGGAATCTCTCATCTTCTCCATTGAGGTTCCACTCGAGCACGTGATTGTCTGGCGCGTGATGTCATTTGACGGTTTCCTCAATGTATGCCCGATCCATTTCCATTATTATAGCCACTCTCTCAGTGTGCTCGTGGTTGTCGTCTGGGTGACTGGACTGGAGTAGAATACTGACTCTCCAATGGACAATTTGGATAATTCATATCCGATTCCATTTGCTCTCACAGATACCCGGCACTTCTATGTCATATCTTCGAATTTCTTTGGCTACCTGGATAGTCTTCCCAGCCAGTCTCGTACATTTTATGGGCATTCCGTGTCCCCATTCTTATTCTTGCTTTCATCGAGAGAAGACACATTGACTGGTTGGCTGAATGGCTTCCCGAAAGCTGGTTTTCAACAGCCCGCTGTGTCTTTTCGCCTCTCTGATTCCACCGAAGAATAAGATTGTTATTTAAATTTTTTGTATGTTTAATATATTTTTCGTGCGTTGAAGTTTCTGTAGATGTTTGATACCTTTTGTGGTGTAGGGTTGCTATCCCCATTCACAGTCCTCCCTCTTTACCCGGGCTTGCGATCGGCTAGAACACTAGCGAAGTAGTTAACTAGGTGAGGTTTGTGAAGGTGTTTTTTTCCTTCACGTTCCCCAGTGGAACATAGGGCTTCAAGCTAGAGGCTTGAAGTTTCTGTAGCAGTGTTTATTCTACAGGATATGGTTGCTAGCCTCATGCCCAACCTTCCCTCTTCACCAGCATTATTTCTGGCTCAGTGAGGTAAAGGAGTGCATTGGTGGCCGGGGATCGAACCTCGGACCATGTGCATGGTCGGCGAGCGTCCTAATCGCTATGCCACCGACGCACGGAGGTTTATGAAGGTGTGTAGTCGCAATTAATTCTTTTGTTAGTTGTTATATTATTATTCCATTGGATTTCGAGTGGAACTTAGAACTTCAATAGCACGTCTCCGTTTCATCCTGTTCTGTTCAGTCCTCTTCAGCTGACCCCATGATTACCCATAAATCTTCATCTCCTCCATTGTGGATAAAGTTTATTGTAATGAATTCTCACAGTGTTTGTTATACAGTAAGTAATATTTACTGCTGACCATGTTTCGAGCACAATTTATTGCTACTCATAATCAGTTAAAAAGTTGTGTGAATACCTTGATATGATTATGAGCAGTAATAAATTGTGCACGAAACGTGGTCATCAGTAAATTTTACTGTATAACACTCTGTGCGACTTTATCAAAACAACGATTGTAGTTGTGTGAGGGCTGGGGCGCCCAGACTGAAGCATATGGTTGTCTTAAGGGACACCCCCTTTGAGCCTTTGACTTGGAGTCTAATCCGCAAAGCAGCGGAGCAGTATCAGGAGCTACGTTCCGATGGTTGTCGGTGACCAATACAGATTCATACGCCATTTGATTCAATCTGATTCTGGAACACATGTACTCCATAGTAGTAACTTCTTTCAGTCTAACCGCTATGCTAACAACCTTCCTGACATGGTAGGACCTGGAGGAGCATAAGTTCAAGCCAGTTTAACTTGTTGGACCAAAGCGGTATTCAAACCCTACCACCACGACAAGGTAGCAGTTGTCGACCGGAGTTAGCGCGATATCAGGAAAGTTAAGTGACGAATAACGAATATTAAAACATTGTCTAGTTTTGTCCCATGATTTACCCAAAAAATATACAGTACAAAATTATGAAATATAATGGGGAAATAATTTGTCTTTTTGTCACAAAGTGTAATAACGATAAAATACTTCTCGAGCATAACTGTAGGCTTATGATGCCTTCACTTTTTGTACGAAAGGAAAGGCTATTAAATTCCACTATTAAAAAAAATGCAGTGATAAAAGGTATTTAATTTAGGCATTTAAAGCAATTAAGAAATTTGATGGGGAAATCAAAAATCTTTTTGTCACAGCAGGACCAGACGGAATTCCCTCCGAAGCACTGAAAACGGTCCCAGAGACTGTGGCAGATGTTCTCACACTATTATTGCAAAAGGTTTGGAAAGAAGGAAAGGTAAGTACGGATTGGAAGAAAGGCTGGTTAACTTGTTAAGCTGCCTAAGAAGATTGACTTAGGCCTCACTCTGCAAGAACTGGCGTGGAATAATGTTCTTGTCCATGCCAAATAAAACACTAAGTCGCCTCATCCTGGAGAGAATAAAGGATGCACTGGATACAGAACTCCGCCCACCGGAAAAAGCTGGATTCAGGAAAGGTAAATCTTGTGCTGACCAAATTGCAGCTCTACTCAGCGTCATCGAACAAAGCACAGAATGGCGGTCAATTCTCACTCCACCTTAACTTCATCGACTTCGAGAAGGCCTTCGACGGCGTTTGTAGAGATGAGATTTGGAAACTACTTCAACACTATGGCGTGCAGTGCCCAAGTCTTTATCAACTTCATTCAGCAGGTGGCTGGCTATATGACAATGAGCCACGTGCCAGGTGATTCACAACGGGAAACTCAGTGGGGCGTTCAAAGTGAAGACAGGAAGAAATGAGACAAGGCTGCCTGCCTACTATCATTGATGATATTCTTAATTGTGGTGAACTGGATTATGCGTCAGACTGTTGGGGACGAGGAGTCAGGAATACGCTAGACGACCGATAAGAAGACTCTAGAAGATCTGGATTTCGCGTGTGGATGATTTGTGTTTAATGTCATACAAACTCGAACACTCACAAGCAAAAACCAACAAACTGTCAGAAAAAGCTGGTAGGCAGCGGAGACAGGACTCCAAGTGAACATAAGGAAGACAATCAACCAACCGCCACCAATCACTACCAACGGGAGGGATTTGACAGAGGTTACTTCCTTCACTCAGGGAACAAATCAACAAGCAAGAGCCGATTGTTCAACAAATATGTAGGAGGAAAGGGAAATGAATTGATCGGGTAGTCGATGCGAGGGTGACATGGAGGAAATCGTGTGAGCAGGAAGAGATGAGAGACTATGGCAACCTTGGACCCAGCTGAAGAGGATGGCAGAAAATAGAAGAAAATGGAGATATTTAATTGAATTTTAGATTTTCCCGTCGATTGATTAGACCGAAGTGCTCGATCTTAGGCACATCCTCCGGATGACGAGTCCCAAATACGACGAAATGCGCATACTGGATTCCACTGCTAGTCACCATCCACTAATTAAAATGGAGATATGTTGTTGAAGCCAGCCTTATGTTCCACTTGGAACCCAAGGAACAATAATGATATGTTTGTGAATTTTATTATTTGTTTTATATGATTAGATGGAGGATTTCATTATGAGCTGACATCAGTTAGAGAACCCCTGGAAAACCTGCAGGGAGTACTTGACAGCTAGCTGTTTCGTCTGGCTAGTTTGGGACTCTTCAGCAGTACACACCCACCGGGGTTCGAACCCAGGGCCTTCTGATGAAGAGTCCCAAACCAGGACGAAACAGCTAGCTGTCCAGTACTCCCAGGTTTTCTAGTGGTTCTCTAACTGATGTCAACTCATGATGAAATCCTCCATACAATCAAATAAAATCCCTACAAAACTAATACTTGAATATTTGTTTGTTTCATTTTTTGATTAAATATGCTGAAGGGAACCGATAGTGTGACTGGCTTTTTTCCCCTCTCTCCCTGTTCACCTCTTTTTGTTTTTTTTTCCTTCTCAGACTGACGCAGATAAATCTATTAATACTACTACTACTACTACTACTACTATTAATGATTCTGATGATGAGAATGATGAAATTCGAAGAATATTCAATGAATCTCTTGAATTCTGTGCTATTCATCTACAAGAATTAATTTCACAAGCTGAAATCAATTCTAATCGATTAACCGCTAAAGTCAACAGAAATGCCAATCAGCATACAATGATGAATTCTACAAATCGATGGCCAACAGTGTCTATATCACCAGAATTAGAAGCTAGTATTGAAAGGACAGCAACTGCTTTCACGGTGAGTATTCTTTTCATTTTTCCGGGGTTTTTTTTGTGGTTCTCTGTTGGTGGTTTATCATTGTCCTTCTGCAGACAGCATCTTCAACGGTTACATCAGCGTGGTGAAGCTCAGAGGACGAACACAAATCAGGAAAAAGAACATCTAACCGAGTTACTACTATTCTCCATTGTTTCAGTATTGATTTATTTTAGATGAGATAGAATTCATACGAGTATATGACTGAACATAGAACTTCTGCACCGATGTGCAGCAGTTTGAGTGACCACTTCATCACTGATTATCTGGAAGTTGCATCAGCCAGTACCAACGAGTTGATCGGTGACAAAATCTCATCACGGATAGAGAAGGCTAGTTTCGCATATGCCAGTTTACGCCGTCTCTGGCTTAGTAGACGTGATATCCGGTTGGCTATCGACCAAAGGGCGTGTGTACTGCTCAGTAGTTCGCTCTGTTCTCCTTTATGGCTGGCTGTGAGTGAGACCTGGCCATTGAAAGTGGAAGACATGGAAGGGCTGGGTGTATGTGGTCATAGGTGCCTGAGAGCAGGTTGGAAAAGAGATAGCTAGTGGTGGTCAAACCGAAACATGGCTTCACCAGTCAGTGAAATCCACAACAGTTAGTTTAGGCCAGCCATGTAGGAAGGTGTAGACTTCCTTACTGGTTGGGGTCCTCGGGACGATAAAAGCCAATGAAGGCTGGAGACAATCGGTGATATGGCTCAAAATCGTTGTCAATGGCTAGAGCAGATGCATCCAGTCCTTGTGACTTATAATTTCCAATAAAACTATATTGTTCTTCGATATTATTATTCTTTTTGCCTCATGTCTCTGGTTTGCATTTTTTTTACTTCCATTTCTTGCTTTGTGTGCTAAATGAAGTGTGACGACTCGAACTCTGTCTGTCTGTCTGGTTGCAACACAGAACTTTGCACAGATGTGCAGCAGTTTGAGTCGCCACACTTCACTTAGCACACAAAGCCAGAGAAGAAGAAAGTAAAAGGAAACGCAAAATAGAGACAGTAAACAAAGATATGAGGTGAAAAGAATAATAATATCGAAGAACAATATAGTTTTATTGGAAATTATAAGTCACAAGGACTGGATGCATCTGCTCTAGCCATTGACAACGATTTTGAGCCATATCACCGATTGTCTCCAGCCTTCATTGGCTTTTATCGTCCCGAGGACCCCAACTAGTCAGGAAGTCTACACCTTCCTACGTGGCTGGCTGGCTTAAACTCACTGTTGTGGATTTGATTGACTGTTGAAGCCATGTTTTGGTTTGACCGCCGCTAGCTCTTTTCCAGCCTGACCCTATGTCAGCTGACATTGCCCGTTGTCGAAGAAGGTAATGACCAGGCTAGGCATGCGCAACACATGTCCTAACCATCTCAATAGTTGTAGCTGCTTCACAACCTCGTTGATTGATTTCCCCTCCCACCTACCTAGTACTCGACCGAAGCCTAACCTCAATATTGCCCACCCTATTATTCCACTTCACACAGAAGACAGAACGCAGGCAGCTGTGATCGAAGACAGCTAGCCAGCCTTTCCATGTCTTCGACTTTAAATGGCCAGGTTTCACAGCCATAAATGAGGATAAATCCAACTGTTGAACATACGGGTATATTGTAACTTAAGAAATTAGCATGAGAATTGGCGGGAGTTTGGTTAAATTTTTATTGAGGTTATTTTGAATTCCTCATTAGTGGTTTGAAATACTTGGTAATAGTGTTGATATATCAGCTCTCGTAGTACGGAGTCTTCGACGGTGTCTGAAGATGTTATTTGGAAATACACTGCATTCAACATAAGAAACAATGTCTAGATTTTCAAAATTTCACAAGCTTCACAAAAATCTAATTGAATTTTAGGTTTTCCCGACGATTGATTGGACCGAAGTGCTCGGTCTCAGGTTGACATGTCGGCTTCTTGAGCAGATGCTTCGACGATGTCTGGGCATTTAATTAGTATTTAATCGGTGGATGGTGACTAGCAGTGGAATCCGGGATGTGCATTTCGTCCCATTTGGGTCTCTTTGGCGTTTGAAACTATGGGCACTGGGTTCGAGCCTCGGTGGGAACATCATCGCTCACCCACTGGGGAATGCAGGTACATCTGCTAGCTGACGAGTCCCGAATAGGACGAAATGCGCGCTATCCTGGATTTCACTGCTAGTCACCATCCACTAATTAACTTCACAAGAATCGTTTCCAACTGGCTACTGAGGAATTTTATCAATACTCCTGCCTTAATTCTTCAAATTATTATCATTATTCCCTTACGTTCCAAGCTGAAAATACAGCTTCAACAACACATCTTCATTTCACCCAGTTTACTGCATTCGTTTTTAGTTGACTCCATAATTGCCTATAAGCTTTCATGTCTTCCTCATACGATTTCCTGAATGTTGACATTCAGATGTCCAACTCGTCGTTTCTCATTTAGCTTTCACTCGAGAGCCTGTCTGGCATATGATATCATTCGACAGTGTGAATGCAGCGTGTTTCCTATCCACCTTGATTTTATTCGCCCTGTTTATTAAGCAATGGGTTCTTAACTGGCCAGAAAGAATAATTAACAAGGAACCCTGTCAACAAACCAACCGAATACTTACTGACATCGTGGAAGCCGAATGGCGAAACGACGAGTTTGGCTTGTGTCCGTGGAGTGACGTGGGGAGGATCCTGTGAGGATGAAGTGAAAGTATATGGGGAATTGTGGAGCAAGCTAAAAATGATCACAGAGAACAGAATAAAGTGGAGATGTGCTGCTGAAGACTTCTGTTCCACTCGGGATCTAGGGGGAATAATAAATCTGTTTGGTGATGGCGAACGTTTCATCCTGTGTTTGGGACTCGTCAGCGGGATGTTACCGGCATCCCCATTGAGTGGATGGTATTCCCACTGAAGGAAAATTAATCAGCCATAATTCCAGGATAATTTCAACATGTAACTCTTGATACCAGCTGGATAAGAGGTGGGCCTCGTGACTCAGTGTTTGATGTTTGAAACAGTGAGTATTGGGTTAGAGTCTTGACAAGAATGCAGGTACAAGTGTCTGACTAGTTCCAAATAACAGGAAGTGAGCGCTAGCCACTTAAACAATCCTTTTAATATCGCGGCATCCGTCCAACGAGCTCACATACCAAATATATTTGCATAAAACTATATACTACTGGAATTTAATTGGGGGATGGTGACTAGCAATGGGATCCTCCAGGAAACGTATTTCGTCCTATTCGGGACTCGTCAGCTAGCAGATGTACCTGCATTCCACAGTGAGTGATGATGTTCCCGCCGAGGCTCGAACCCGGTGCCCATAGTTTCAAACGCCAAAGAGCCTCAAATAGGACGAGATACGCATCCTGGATTCCACACTTCTAGTCACCATCCACCAATTAACCTCTAGTTACATGCCCAGACATCATCGAAGCATCTGCACAAGAGGCTGACAGACATGTCAACCTGAGACCGAGCACTTCGGTCGAATCAATCGACGGGAAAATTTAAAATTAAGCAGACTATATACTACTGATTGACTGAAGTGAGTAGTTGACTACTAATCTCATCAACCATTACAGTGCCCTTACTAGTGGGAAATTAGATAGTTTGAACTGATTCGTCTCTCTGACCTGAGGCAAACCGGCGATACTGCTGATCAGCTCGGCCGCAAACAGGTGAAACTGCTGTCCGGTGCTTCAATCACTTCAATGTTTGCTGGTTAGCCATTACTACTGGTTTGTGTGAGTGTGGTGCTTCTATTTAGGATTGATTATCCCGGAATTTTCTTAGATTCAAAAAAGATAACTGAATATCTTCCCACGTGTAAGTAAGTGACTTCAGGAATATTGGCGGCTACAATTTTCCTTGATTACTTATTACAGAGCCATTCATATTTGTGGTGATCTAGTAGGATGAAGGCTGTTTTCTTCGATTAGGGTAACGTGGAACATTAACTTCACTTTGTTTACATTGAGGTCTGTAATATTGAATGAGAATTCTAAATTTGAGAAGTAATAGAATGATATTAGATAGTTGGAGGCAATCGGCAGGAAGTCTTGGTTGTACCTAGGTTTCGTGCTAGTTGGCACTCATCATCAGCAAGGCGTATCTGCAACCTCGAAGGAAATCATGTCCCTTCTGCGATTCTAACCCGCGTCACACAGTGCTTCACTCAGAGACGTTACCACTGAGCTATAGACCTGGCTCGCGATTTACACTAGTAACAAGTGTCCAATTCAATCAGATCAAATTTCAATTCATACACCTATTTTTATTTTTTATTTTTGATTGCAGCTTGATTCCACACCGAATTTTATGGTACCAGTATGGAATTTTCAACATGCGATATCGGTAGCCCAAATTTTTCAGGCCGACCATAGATATCAGGTGTGCATCGGCAGGGAATCGAACCCCGGACCATGTGCATGGTGGTCAGTGAGTGTCCTGACCACTGTGCCGCCGACGCATATCGTTGGTTCAATGGTAAAATACCTACCAGCGATTAATATATGTGTAAAACTTGGGCACTGTGGTAGTAAGTTATTCCATATTAGTTTATTTATTAGATGTATCACACAGTCAGTGAGTGAAACAGTATTATTATTTACTGGAGGACAATGTTTCGAACAAAATTTATTATTGTTCATAATCGTGTCATCATTTATAATCACACGACTTCGAAACGTGAGTTTTATAGTTTACTTTGTTCTCTCCTATTTGTCGTCATTGGGGTAGTAGGAACCTGAATCATCAGTGGTAATTCCATACAAGGAAGGAACCTCGGAAACCACTTTATGCAGAATTCTTAACAAGGCAGGAATAAAAGTGGCTGGCATTCACACTACTCACAAACTCAATTAGAAACAACCTTTGTCGGTTAAAGGATCAATCATGTGGAGCCTTTAAAACAAAACAATTTAGTTTATCTGATACCCTGTCTGGAATGATTGTCAGGTCAAATACATAGGTCAAACTAGTAGGACTTGGGTAGTCAGACTAGCCGAGCATAAAACCCTAGCAAAATTTAGATGATTTGACCCGAATAAGATGAGAAATCTGGAGAATAGTTCAGCTATAGCACTCACTACATGCAATCACACACAACCATACACTAGGCTGAATGGGATAAGATGACAATTTTGAAATATAATGTAACAGCAGGGTGGAGGGAGAAATTAATGTCAACGGAAGCTTTGTTTATCGAATCAACTGAAAAGAATAGGTGTAATAGGACTGATTCAACACCTGTCCCCGATATCTGGAAAATTCTACTACCCCAACGACGACAAATAGGAGAGACGAAAGAAAACTATAAAACTCAAGTTTCAAAGTCGTGTGATTATAATTGATGAAATGATTATGAACAATAAATTGCGTTCGATACTGTGTCATCCAGTAAATAGCAATACTGTTTCACTGTGTGATATATCTAATAAGCAAACTAATATGGAATTCCTAAAGCTTGTCCAATTGACTAGCAGTTGATAAACCTGGCAGCTTCACCCCATAAATGTAACACCGCTATTGGCGTTTAACTCGAAACATACAAAAGAATGAAAGTAGGAGTCTCAATTCAATTGACTGCCGATCTTGTAGAATGACATTTTTCGTATTTCGGTTGCTTTCTGAGTGGAAGATACAACTTCAAACTTGAGGTTTGAAGTTTCAGTTGTAATGGTGTTGTTTTCCACTCTATAAGGTGGTAGGGTTCATAGTTTCACACGCAGTCTTCTCTCTTTTTCGAACTTAATTCTGGCTAGTAAACTATTCAGGACTTGGGATTACTTGCCAGTCGGGAACTGCACTTCGTCCATGTGCATGGTGCTTCGCGAGCTTTCTGTTATTGAACAACGACGCATAGTATAACTTGGTGTTTTCAAGAATTTAGTTTGTAGGGATTCCATTTGTTTCAGTTAGAGAAGCATTGAAAACAGTTACGTGTTTCGTCCTAGTTTGGGACTCATTGGCAGTATGCACCCACTGGGTTTCGAACTCAGGACCTTCCAGTTGTTGAATAGTATATGAGCTTGACTTGTAACCGGAAGGTCGTCGGTTCGAACCTTGGTGGCGGGAGCGTACCGATGATGAGTCGGAAACCAGGACGAAAGAGGTGACTGCACAGTACATCCTGGATTCCAATGACTCTCTAACTTACATCAACCCGTGGTGTAGCCAGAAACAAATAGAATCCCTACAAAGTAATTCTTGAAAATTAGTCTGATGCTTGCTAGTGACTGGCTGACTGCAGGACGAAGTTGGCTGGAGCTCTTTCTAGTGAGAAGTCGTGGCCAGTGGGGTCCATCCAGTCGGGGGGAGGATGGATTTCCCGCCGATGAAATCGGTTGATGATCCCTCTAAATGCATCATGAATCGGTAGGAGTTAGAATTCATGAACTTGCCATTGAAATAGGTCCCAACGGTTGAATGGTATACGGGCTTGCCTTGTAACCGAAAGGTCCTGGGTTCGAAATCCAGTGGGTGCGTACTGTCAGTTCGTCAGAAAGAGAAAGAGGTTGATCATTATGTCATTTCGTGGAGACGTAAACCAAAATCACAATACTACTAGAAGCCAGTTACTTACGAATCATTGGATGCAATTTTTTTGTCGTTTGTAAAGCTCTTTACTTGTCATTGTTTTGTCTTTTATTTTTAGGAACATGTCACATCAGTTCTAGCCAATCTGTTACACGCTGTACCAGATCAATTTTCATCTAAATCTGAAGCTGACACAAAGTTGCGTAATCCACGTGTTGTGCCGCGTAGACAACCGATTATTGCACGTCGTGGTTCTAGACTTCGTGGTATGCTATTGGCTTATCAAAAAGATACTGTGAAACGTCAGAATTCAAATAGTTCAGACAAATAGGAACAGTGATGTCAAGGGAACGATTATTAGGGGAGTATTCGGCTTTTTGGCGGACAAAATAATAAAAGCAGTCAACTACTTCTTTAATTTTTGCTTTTTGCTCATCATCTGTTTTGCTTATCCTTCTTTCTATGTAAACTTTACTCTCTTCTTTTTGTACTCCGTTTTCCATCGATAAGTTAACCGTTCAAGTGTAAATTTGTTTTCAAATATATTTATACGTAAATATTCGTTTTCTTAAAGCTAAGCTATGCTATAGTTGTGCATTGGCGGTTCATTGGTAGAATACTCGCTTCAACCACGCACATCTGGTCGTGGTGGTGGTGAGGGGGAGGGGTTCAGTCGCTAGCCGACGCACACTCCTAAATCTCGCTTAGCCTGTAGGAAGCCTGGTAACTTCAAATCTCAGCTTGAAGTCATTCATATATGTTTCACTTAGAAAGAACGCAAGGGAATGAAACAGATATTTAAAATAAAAATAGTGAATGCTCTATCAATGTATGTGTGTAAAACTTGGGCACTATGGTAGTAAGTAATTCCATATTTTACAACTGGTTCCCTTGATAAATTTCGATAAAGAAAGGAAGACGAAATTTGCAGTATAAAATGATATCATTCTATTTCACAGGTTCTCATCAGCTGCAGACTACCTGAAATTACAATGGTTATATAAATGATAATAACATACTTTTTTGGATGCATCAATTTCATCTCTTCTCTACTACTAATCAAACATTAAAGTATGTTATTATCATTTATATAACCATTGTAATTTCAGGTAGTCTGCAGCTGATGAGAACCTGTGAAATAGAATGATATCATTTTATACTGCAAATTTCGTCTTCCTTTCTTTATCGAAAATTCCATATTAGTTTGTTTATTAGATGAATGACACAGTTTCGAACACAATCTATTATTGTTCATAATCATATCAATTATAATCACACGACCTCGAAACTTGAGTTTTATGGTTTTCTCTGTTCACTCTTATTTGTCGTAAGGGGAGTAGAATTTTCCAGATATCCGACTGGACAGATGTTGAATCATTCCTATTACACGTGTTTACAGTTGATTCGGTAAACAAAGCTTCTGTTGACATCAATTTTTCCCTCCACCCTGCTGATACATTAGATTTTCAAACTGTCATCTTATCCCATCCATCCTATTCTATGGTTGTGTGTAATTGCACGTGGTGAGTGCTATAGCCGAACTATTCTCTAGATTTCTTATCTTATTTGGGTCAACCAATCTAGATGTGGCTAGGTTTTTATGCTCGGCTAGTCTGACTGCCCCTGTTTTACTACTTTGACCTATGTATTTGACCTGACAATCATTGTAGCAGGCTATTAGATAAACTAAATTGTTTTGTTTTAAAGACTCCACAGGACTGATCCCTTAGCCGGCAAAACTGTTTTCTAATTGAGTTTGTGGTTTTGAATGCGTTGTCAAGAATTCTGCGTAAGGTTTCCGAGGTTCCTTCCTTGTATGGAATTACTGCTGATGATATAGATTCGTTATTGTTGGTGTTGTCATTATCTTGTGCACATTCGACATGCATGTTGTCACTATTATTATCACTATCACTACTATCATTATTTATTTTATTTTTACATTTCCCTACATATTTCCTGACTAATTTATCAGGGTAATCATTGAGTTTGAAGTCTTCTCTTATATCTATCACTTCCTGTCTTAGATTTTTCTTGGTACTGCTTATTTTTTGTGCTCTGTCTACTACCCCTACGACAAAAAGGAGAAAACAAAGGAAAATATAAAATTCAAGTCTCAAAGTCGTGTGATTATAATCGATATGATTATGAACAGTAATAGATTGTGTTCGAAACTTTGTCATCCAGTAAATAATACTGTTTCACTCATTGACTGTGTGATACATCTAATAAACAAACTAATAGTGAATGCTCTAGTTAATTAATATTTCAAGTGCGACTGACTACGGAATGAGCTTCATGGCGATCTAGTGCCTCGCTATCACTAAGTTGGCAGTGAGGACAGATAATGCCACTATGTTGCTGGTTGCAGGTGTATCGTGATATGTTACGAATCAACAGAAGTTAGAGTTCATGGACAATTACGTTGTATCCTTGTGGTTAAAATAAATAATCACCCGGTCTTGCCTTGTAACCAGAAAGCCCTGGTTCGATTCCCGGTGGAGTTATGTGGATACGTACTGCCGAAGAGTTGCAGACCAGGATGAAATAACTATCCATTATTCTATGGTTTTCAATGCTTCTGTGACTGATATTATATTGACCTAATTTTCCTAAAATACTACATTTATCTTTACATTACTGGTCGTACTTCTCTCTCCTCAGTTATGACCTTGGAATCCTATTTGTTTTTGACTGTTTTAATTTATCAATGTGATTAGGGTCTCAAGGTCATTTAAAGCATATATATATATGCGCGAGTGCTGTCGATCATTTTCACTGCTGATGCGACACAATGTAAGCTCTCCACTCCACATCACGGATCTGTCGTCTCTTCTTGCACTGAGGTTTCGGTGGTATCGTCTCGTGTTGTTATCGTCGTTGTTGTTGTTGTAGCTAATAGGGGTTAGAACAGCAGGTCTGTGAATTGACTAGGTAGGAAATCCCTAATTCATTAACTGATATCGGCTCAGGATGAATGTGCTTGTCGTTAATTGTTTCTTTTAATGATAGGTAGCTAGTAAGTTAGAACTCAACCTGGTATAACCAGGCTACGGAACCATACTTATTGTGTGGGCGCTGATCATACTCTCCGAGTTACCCAATTTGACATAAGTGGAATGAGGTTCTAAACCAAGAAGTCGAGTGTCTAATCCAATAAGCCTCATCTTTGCATAATGGTAGTCAACTTGATTTTCTACATATTTCTATTCTCATATATTGAGTCAATCATTCGTGGGATAAAAATATGCACTAATAGTCCTAGTGAAACAGTAGAAGACGAAGATTTGTATATGTACACCTTATCTATCTTCAACGCACCATTTGCACAGATCTTCCATGTTGTGGTACTTCTGTCCTTCCTTCATATTGTGTTTCTTTGTATTCGTTCCCTTTCTCCCATGTATCTCCACAACGCTGTATCATTTGCCTTCTCTAGCATCAAATGTATCTCCCTGCTATTTGATTTTCTTTCTATGCCGATGAACACCTGTTTATATACTACTGATAAATCTTATCAGTAGCACTCACCACACTAGTTGTAATCGTTGAGATCCTATATAATTCTTCCCCAATGTGGAAGGTATTCACCAAAACTATATACAACTGATTGAAAGAGATAAGCAGGTGTGTAACGGCAGAAGACAAATGCCAGGCGACAGAGAAAATCAACAGATATTTATAGATTTTTATGTACATTATTATTAGCATTATTGTTAGCAGAGAAGCATCGTCTTCTGATTGGTTGTTTTCTTACCGAAGGTTACTCTGTTATCTCTTTGTGACCGCTTCTCAGAAAGTTAAGCCATATATCTGCCAATCATATTTCCACACGTTAAGTCTATTGTGATTGGCTGGTGATTTTCTCAAGGTTAAGCTTTGTTATTGTTTTCTCAGGACCCTCATGCGGGACTTGAACATTGACGTAAACTGTTGTCTGCAATCTTGGCTTGCAGCACAGCTGTACACCATTTACATTAACCAGTTAGTAGTGCTTGCTAGCACCAGACCATTCAAGTGATCTGGACATGGGATGTCTGTTTCGCTTGTTTGGGGCTGATTTCGTCGTCGGTGCGCTCGGTTTGACTTAGCTCTGAGAGTCGAATCAGTTCAAACTATCCAGTTTCTCTCTGGCTACTAATAATATCTTAAATTTGCAATTTTCAAATCGATCGGCAATTTACACAGTTCAAGGAAGTGAAATTTCACCATCTAAGTTTCCTTTGAAAGGCAAAAGTATTCAGATCACACACACAGTATGAGATCTGCTTGATACCATAAATGATAATCACCTGAAACAAGATTTCATTGTGGAAAGAATTTATTTATCTTGATTTCATGATATGTTTTCTTTAGGGTAAGTACCTGACAGCAGTCTATCAAACAGGGCTGGTTATGCTGTACAACGATTCGTTGTCTACTTGTTAACAAATAGGAAACATTAACTTTATTATTATTTGAACGTAACCTTGGTACATTATACACACCAAGAGATGAAACATACGAAAACAATATATGGAAGATAGAATAAGTGAGGGACTCCATCCAGAGAGCAAGTAATCATAGCTGTGGAGAGTATTCAAATAAACGTTCATTACTCCATGTTACCTTCAGAAAGAGGCAAAAGGAGGGGGCTTCAGTATGCTAGCCACTGATTCAAAATGGGAGTCGTGAAATGCGCCAATACCCGGCTGAAAACTGCTACTTTGTCGTGGTGTTCGGGCTTAAATACCACAGTGACTCAACAAGCTAAACTGGCTGGGACTTATGTAACTGCAGATCCTACCATGTCAGGAAGGTTGTTATCATAGCAGTTAGACTAAAAGCAGTTACCATGGGGTACATGGGCTCCAGAATCCAATCGGATGAAATGGCGTATGAACCTGTATTGGTCACTGGCAAGCATGGGAATGCAGATCCTGAAGCTGCTCCGCTGCCTCGACGATTAGACTCGAAGTTAAAGGCTCGGGGGACGGTGTGGTCCCTTGAGGAAACCACCTGCTTCGATCTGGGCGCCTGAGCAGTATCTCAGCCCTCACACAATAAATGAAATGAAGCAACAAACTATCAGTGAAACTTATCGCGCGCTCGTAACAATGCTTTCAAGTAATGCACCAATTGATGTTAACCTAACACAAATATCTTTCATCGTCGTATCACTTCATGCGCCAACCCCCTCTCCTTTGTCTTCGTCCAGTCTCAGGGCCAGCGAACATCGGGCGGTATGACAGCTTTTGGAATGACATTTGTAGAACATGTTTAGGCGAAAGAGGTCTGTGTCTCAATATGACAAATGAAAATTGGTGAAAGATGATTTCTAACGTTTCTAAACACACCCTGTTGGACGTCAGTTACTTACACAATGATGCCACTGGCTGCAAACAATTCTACAGAGGCAATGTTGGCCGAATACAAACAGTCACAGCATATCTTCTTCAGCTGGGTAGGCCAGGTTTAACAGGAGTGTTGACCGCTTCACTTATTTGGGAGGTTTCATCAGCCCCAACAGGTTGAT